TTCAATGAGGTAGGTTGTGTCTTTACTGTGCTCAAATTTTCATAATGATTTAGACCAGAATACAGCTTAGTTACTGAACTTGATAAATTATAGTGGAATTCTATGGTATCGATATAGTATTTTATGATTGTTTGGTTATTTCAAAATGTATATATATAAAACCTAAAAAAATTATTTTGTTTCATATCTTCCACGTGCGAAATTTTAAAAGGCTTAGCAACCTACATCAAGCAGCAACCGAGTACAAAGATCATAACTAGAAGAGATAATTGTTTGCTTTACTTCTTTATTTACTGTTCTATGTTTTAAGAAAAATATGTTTAAGAACTTATTATTAAATAGTAATAGTGTATGTACATGTATTATGTATTATAAGTGAAATGTGACTGTATTTTACAAAATATTAGTCCATTAAAACACAGCCAAGACAGGTCACTTTGTAAAGGCCAGTTTTATATTCTTGGATATGGTAACACGAGTGCACATGTGCCACGTCATTGTAACTTCTGTATTGTTAGCCAGGCACGGCTGGAAGGTCAATATAATAAAAATAACAAATATATATAAATGTAAAATGTTATGAGCTTTAAGCAATTTAGACTAAACATTTGTGTTTTCATGTTATAATCTGTAGACATTCTAGAACGAAAAAAAGCATAATTTATATTTATTTCCTAATTTTTTTATAGTGATTATGAGGTTGGTCTAATTGACAGACCCCATTTAGTTAGGGTAGAGAAAATAACAGACAAAATATAAAGTTTTACTGAAAACAAACATTTGAAATGTACTTAGGAGGTTTTGGAGATTACGCAAATCGTATTTGAGATTTTTGAGATGCAGAGTAGTTTTTAATCATGACATGAAAATCACTTCACACTTGGATTAATAACGAAGCAGACTCAATACTTTCATAAACAAATATTTAGTAAAAGTACTTCATTAAAAAATCTGATTTTTTGTGTACAAAAGACTTGGAATTATTACTAAATGACTACCACATTTTATAAAGACACACATACAGCATTAAAAGTTATAGTATAAATACTTAATGTGTGCAAATGTGTATAAGAACTCGTGTATTTTATACTGAGCACATCACAAAAGGGTTAAGAGTCATTTGTAGACAAACAATCAGAATTTTTCATGAATTATTTTCACTAAAAGTTTCTACATGAATATATGGAGTCAAAGAGTTGACTGCTCCAAATGCAAAGTAATTTTCATGCAAAGATTAAAAATACTTTTCTTCCTTTGAAAAACCTCAAATTTCTTTAGCATAATCTCTGAAACATCCTAAATAAATTTCAAATGTTTTTTCAGTAAAACTTTTTATTTTATGTTATTTTTTCTACCCTAACTCAATACGAAGTTGGTCAATTTGACTGACCTCGTGATCACCAAAAAAAATCAAAATAAACCTAAATTACCCTTTTTTTCTTTCTATAATGACTTCAAATTGTAATATGAAACTACATTTATTTATTTATCCTAAATAGCTTGAAACTCGTAATGGTATACATCTGTTTATACTCACATTTTATTGTTTTATTGCCCTTTGAACCATGTCTAACTACTATTCATAGTATATAAGTTGTAAATCACTTTGTAAACATGTAGCTCATGCTAACTTATCATATTTCATAATGTACAAGCTACTTGTGAGTGTACCTCATGAAATATTTTTATTATTATTACTATTATTCTTTACTTAATCTAACCTTAAATTACCTAAAACATTTCTGTTTTTTTACATTTTAGTTACTTTTATAATAATAAATAAATAAAGAATACACATGAAAAACAAGAAA